AACTATTACAACCATCATCAAAATGGTACAAGTATTTATGAATAGTTTCTACTTAAGATACTTAATGTCTGTCGGCTGGATACCATCAACACTAACCTACTGTAGGAGAGGACAAATCCTCTCCCAGCTCAAGTGGAAATCAGGAAAAGATTTTGGAAGTGTATAAAACATACATTACGGAAATCACCAAATTGCATTACGAGGCAAGTGCTAACTTGGAATCCTGATGGGAAATGGAAAAGAGAAAGGTCGAAGAACACACCATATCGAGAAACGGAAGCAGACATGAAAAGGATGAATAGGAACTGGAAAAGATTGTCCAGGACAGAGTTGGATGGATTTTTCTGGTGGGCGGCCAATGCTCCTGAAAAATTGCCAACAGGCTCAAGTAAGTAAGTAATCAATAATGAATTTATCGGTATTTAAGTAGGATGTAGTAAACTGAATATTATGCATTTTTTGTTCTTTTCTGAGTCTACCAATGTGTTTATTAGTCTAAGTATTTATTGACTCATTGTGCACCATGTCGATTGTTTAAAAATTCATTGTTTAAATGAGGTATTCAGTGGCAATCATAATAAAGTGAATTTCGTAATAAAATTTTATAAATAAGTAGGCTTTTTAGTATTAACGATAAAACCAAATAGGCCAGTTGGTCATGAAATTATCAGTTTGAGGTTCTGGAGTGTGTTGAGTTTCGTTAAATTGATGAATCAGTCAGTGTTGGACCACCACTGGAAAACTGCAAACACTGGACGGTCGCTTCGTCCCAGCATGGGACACCTCAGGAGTGCGCATCCATCACTCTGTACTCAAAAGCCGAACCGAGGATCTTCAATCTTGAGCCCGGACTCTTAACCTCTAGACCACTGGGCCAGTACTGATTGGTGTTAATGTGTAATTATGAAATATTAATGTAGATATTAGTAAAAAGTCGACTGAACTTTGTTTGGATCAATAATTTAAGGATACTCTTTTAATTTGCAAATTTTGATCAATCTTATTACTGAATAAAAACATCAAGACTTTTCTATGTATAATTGCTTTTTGATCATCGTGCTATGCTATGCTACCCTTTAAGCCCTAGTACAAACCTTTTATTTTGTACCGCTGTCGTATCTCTCAAATTATCCATATTGTAATTCACATTGTCAAGGTTTCAACTGTTTATTTCAAATTAATTAACCATGGACAAAATAGACAGTGATCGTAAAATGCCGGATCAGTGGTTTAGAGGTTAAGCGTTTGCGTGAGACTACAGGTCCTGGGTTCGAGTCCCGGGTGCGGGATTTTCCTAATCTCGCAGCCTGATGTAAGATATCTTTCAGTAAAGTAGACTTTTCAAATGAATACATTTTTTTTATAGTACAAGGGATAAAACGGATCTAATATTCTTTATCTACAAACAGTTTTTACAATGGTAATGTTACCATTCATGTCATTCGTAATTTTACATGAGATTTGTCTTTGTATATACATATGTAGTTAAGTAGGTATTAGTAACACTGAATCCTTAATTTGTACATGTATTTGAGATATGATTGTCAACTCGTATGTAATTGTTCGGAACACCCTCCTTTTCTCTCTCTCTCTCTCTTTCTGTGCATATATTAGACACGTATATCTGATTCACTATTGCCATACCTTTTATTGATAATGATTTACAATTAATTACTACAAATGCGCCACTCATATTCTGTAATAAATACATAGATATGTAACTATTTAAAATAATTTTATGTAGTCCGTTCTTGACTTGTGTTTAACTCGGACTATTAAGTTGTGACAGTAAATAACAAAGGTATCTTTATCCTTTCACCTGATTTCCTGTTGTTCAAACAGTGAGCTTAGGAACATGTGAAGTTAATGTCGCACATCGGTTGCTTGACAAATACAGTAATGAAGTTTTTGTTTACAAAGTTAACATCTTAAGCAAAGAAAAAATATCAAGCTATGAACACTTTTTGCCGGAGTCGGCCTAATCTTTCTAGATATGTATCACCAGTTGTCTATTTTCAGAAATTTACTAAAGATATCCGTTATCTTATTTTATGAGTTTGATTATGAAAACTTAGTCAAATCCTAGTAACAATAATAATAATAATAAAAATAATAACATAGTGAATATCACAATTCCACGATCTAAAAATGTGATAATTTCCGGGGTCTATTGTTATAATAAACAACACATTATGTGTTATAACTTGTGACCGCCGATTAATGTGCAGTAACTTATCGATCAGATCAATGACGCGTAAAACACGTGTGAGCAGCCTAGAGTTCTGATTGGTCATGCTTTCCACCTAGCCCAGCCAGATAAGTTCAGAACACCAGTCTCAGCCTCTGCGATAGGAATCATTATATTTCAAACATACTGAGTTTATATATCAATCAAACAAACCACAACGTACCAATAAAATATGAACAACATTTGTACAAGAATTAGCCAGATATGACTGTGAATGAGGGAGGCAGTGACTAATAGACAGGGAATAATTCAAGAATGGAAAATCGTATAATAACAGTTCATATGTTAAAATAAAGCTTATGATAAGAGAGACATGAATATGAATAGTTTAGTTAATTGACAATTATACGATAAAAATATACGCACAGTATTTGTCCATCAATAGATCCCAAAAGTTACCATTCATTATTCTTGTCGGAGCATTACATTAAGGTATACATGAAAACATTATGATTGATTTCATTGATGTTTTCAAATAAAAATCTTTCATTTCATTTCAGTCAAGTTCTATATTTTAACAATAGGCGTAATTTCACCAAATAATATTATCAGATCATACAACAAGGTTTGGGAAGAACTTCACGCATTGAGGATATGAGTTAAAATTAATTTACACATTCTAATGCTAATGAAATTAATAAGTTGAAATCATATGCAAAAAATTAACACAAAACAGTAAATGTCATGGTTTAATTATTGTAATGATAATATTGAATAATACCAATAGTGAATAATACCAATATTAAGTAAAGTAAGAAAGATCAATGTACAGTTGACCAAAATTATGTACCATTGAAAAGATTCAGTACAGTTTTCCATGAAGAGATATAGGAGTGAAGTTTATAATGTGTACTGTTAAAAGTAGAACTGAATGGATTTATTGTAGACCAAGCTAAATAAAATGTTGAAATGTATCTATTTTGTACAGATAAGTCTTATATGTTCTAACTGATTACCTAATTTAGCTTCATTTTGATAAATTACTTGGATTTTTTTATGTAATTGGAAAGGAATGAACAGAATTTCACCAACTTCTAATATATGTCATTATAATCCATCGAATTTTAGTAGATTTGTAGTGGCTTAACTTCGTTAATCAATTACCATGATATTCATTATTATATACATCACAATGGTGTTTGAAATCAGAAAGCAATAAGAAGTTGAAATTACAGTTTATTAGCGGATAGAACAGATCACAAAGCTACAAGCACATTGAGGTGAATGTGTGTATGTTCGAGCAAATACAGAGACAAATTTATAGTCAAATTGAATCAAGGCGCAGCAAGGCAAGGTGAAGGTTAATAATAGGATTCGAGCACATATATACATGGGAAAGAGAATGATTCATCAAGTAATATGTAAGCTATTAACATTTAAACTAGAGATATGCGCATAGGCTGCCATGTGATCAAGCGTACCCGTTTATACAGACATGGTAGTGATCATAATAATATAAAGAAATGGATGAATCGTTACTGTTCGAATGACATTGTTTGTTAAATAAGTTAAATAATAGGTCTTGACAAAAATTAACCGCAATCAAAATTATTCATATGTGTGCTGCTATACTTTCACTGATATTATCATCATGTATCATGTATCATGTATCTGTTGTTTAAAATTTTAATTCTATACATATTAACTTTGATATATGTGTTAGTCACTAGATAGTGTTCATTAATAATCTCGTCGTTAAATTATGAACAAGAATACAGTCATAAAACATCAAGAGTTGCTATTAAAATATGAGATTGTAGTGATGTTAACAGATGAACTCACGAACCAGTATATTCTGGACCACCATTGAAAATCTGGAAGCACCGGACGGCTGTTTCATCCTCCTCAGCAGTGCACATCTACGATCCCTCTTGTAAGACTCGAACCCAGGACTTTCGATCTCGAGCGCGAACACTTAACATCTAGACCACTGAGGCCAGGATCCAACAGTGTTAATGTCTTACTTCAGTCGATCCAACGTTATTGGCCCTGTATCTGACTTCATTTCGATTGTATGAATGATTGTTATTGAAATATACATATTGTCAATCCTCGGATGAAATTATCGACTTGAATCGCGTTATTGAATAACGGAGTTAAATAAGTCAAATACGAGCATGGAATTTTGAATACATATATTTTGTACGCTCGTTGATCTAGACTGACAATCAAAGAGACAAAGAAAAGGAAGAGGGGAAAAGAGAGAGAAGCGCAATGAAGCGCAATAGAGGTGTGTGAGCCAACTCAATTTAACCAAGCGTTAATTGATATTTATAGTCAGACCAAATATAAACTATAGACATGTGATGTGTAGGTTATGTAATGCACATATATGCGCTCATATAAAAACAGCCAAGGTTGATAAGCGAATAGTTGACAATCTCAAAATGTAGCTTGAGAAGAATGATTATGTTGGTTTGTCCAGAAGCTAGAATAAGTTATGTGTGCTTAACATAGCGACCGAAACTACACAACCTATCATCGATTGTCCGAGATAGATACCTATCTCTACTCGATACGGATTGAACTTCACTAGTCATGGCTTCTCACTAGAACTCCAGTACTTCCGGGTTTTGTATTGTGGTTTAGCCTACATCGACTCATGAGTTCATTATATAGAGTTATCAACAAATTGTATACCTTTATTTAATTAGAATACAATTTAATGTAAATAACAATTTTCGTTCATAGGTATAGTCAGTAATATCCTCTTTTTTTTAAAAAAGAAACGTTTTTTCCCCACCTATTTAGAATGCCAGTAGAATATCGTCAGAATAAAAATTATACTTCAACTCATCTTAGTTATTATGAATTACCTCATTCAATAGGACGTCATCATATGTCGCAAAATTATAATCAACAAAATGCATCAGATCGTCTTTATCAAATAGCTATACAAGCTGCAGTGGCCAAAGCAGAATCATCTAAATCCACAAATGATGAAATTCGTAAATTTTATCATGATGATAATAAATATAAATTAAATAAAACAAAACTAAACAATAATGTACATAATCATACTATTAATAATACAATTACTACAATCAGCACTACAACTACAATAATAACAACTACTAATACTGCTACTACTACCACTACTACTCCTTCGACAAATTTATCATCAAAAGTTAAAACAGCACATTTAACTCCTCAACAATGGCAATTATTAAATGATTATCATGAACATGATTTATTTGTACGTACAAGAAGTTGGAGTTTTTGTATGGCAGTTTTAGGTGTTGGTGTAACATTGTTTGGTATTGGTAGTCCAGCATGGAAATGGATTGGAGATTGTAAGTTTTCACCATGATTATGACTGATTTTTTGTTTTTTATCAATTTGCGTAGTTATTTGTATTAACTCTAAGTGTAAGATCGATAAAGTTGTTAAGTTTCATTCAAATAACAAGCCGACCACATTTAGACTGTCACTGATGACCTGAATGCACTACATGCCCGTTCCTTCTTTATATGGAACCCTTCGGCAGTATGTATCCACAATCCCACACGCAGCACTTGAACCTAAGAATTTTGTTCTAGAGCGCGAACAGTTAACCTCTAGACCACTGAGTCGGAACCAAACGATGCTAATGTCTAACTTTAATCAATCCACAAAATTACGCCATATTCTTCCATTATCTTCGCCTTACATCCGACTCGGTTGAACTTCACTGGTCATGGCTTCTAACTAGAACTGGGGAAATTTCTTTTCGATGCATGCCATGAGTGAGTACATGATAATTTTCTGTGTGGGGTTGTGGATATTGTTGGTTTTCGTTAAAATCATTAATTTAACTTTGTCGACTAACAAGTTATGTACTTATATGTTTGGGCCTCTTTTACTTACGTTTCGTGTAGTTTTATGAGCAATTAAGCGAATAAATCATCTCTAAAACATCTACGATTGTTACTCTTCTTAAGTACATCAATTAATAAGATCACTTTATTCGATCTTTAGTTCTTATTGAATTCAATAGCTTAATTCCCATTATAACTTCCAATATGAGAAAGTTGTCATGTTTGTATTTTCTACTTTAGGTTAAGTACTTGACTTAAACCGATAGAAAACCCTAGAAGAACTTAACAGTTTTGTCGAAATGATCGATCAAACTATTTTTAATTGTGCAAATATTTCAAATAACTTTCCTTTTTAAAATGGATTTATTTGATGTATTTATGTGTTAACATTAAGTGTTTACAAATTATTGAAATGCTAACTATTGGAAACTTAAACCAGCATATTGCTTGTTTTTTATACATTCCTTTCTATCCTTTGAAAAAGCAATATATGATTAAACTAGAATTCATACTTTTAATTCATCATAGCTAAGATAAATACACTTGGTATTGTTTTCTTGTATTTTCCCATTGTTGTTGAGGGCTGCAAATGATCAGTCTCTTGTTGGCATATGTGCATCCTGGCAGGAGTTACTTGATATTGCATTAAGTCGCAAATTTTATCAGGAAAGATGGATAGTAGCCAGCAGTGGAATAAAGGACGCGCGTTTCGTCCTATTCGGGACTCGTTCTAACAGTTTTAATGATTGGAAATGATTGTATTTTAAGCGGCAATTCGTTACAATATTACATAATGGTAGCTGAGACTTCAATATAATAATATTTTTAGTATTGCAAGATAGATTTGATCATTATTATAATTATGAAAATTTGTTAAATGCTAGTTATCACCACTTCCCAAGAAATGCCTACAGTTATGAAGTGACTAATACTCTTATCATCATTAAAAGTACCACAAACCTTTGTCATGGTTACATAAAACAGAATATGACCAGATGAAACTTTGAATAATTTTTTTAGAAACTTAATATTTTCTAAGTAAAAAGTGATAACTCAGTCATATCCATTAAAAAATGTCATGATTTACAAATTTTAAAGTGTATTTAAGAGGGTAATTAGACTATGAAATGCATAACTGTTAAGAAATATTGTATGATTTTTATTACATGTTTGTTTAATCATTTAAAGCTCGGAATCCTTATGAACTTGGTTTATGGACCTTGTGTCTACCGAACAATTCCACTTGTCTTTCAATAATTTACCACTTACAGAATAACTGGAGTAAGTTCACTAATAAAATAAATGATTATATAATTATATTTCGTATTTCCTCTCTACCATTTGTTTCTCTGAAACACAAGTATGATATAGTTGACAGATTGAAGTATATCCTTGTAATGAAAACAAGATCATTTACTCATGGAAGTAGAATTGTTTATTTCAATGAAGGTTAGCAATTTATTCATTGTATAAGTCGGTAATTCATAACTAGACAAATGATTTTATTTGTTCTTAACTAGCAACATGTTAATAATTGTATAGTGGTAAATATTTCTTGTTACATTCATTTGATTCATTTATTTTAACACATAGATATTGGTACAAGGGGGTACCAAATACATATGCGCCACACAAATCTCATTCGATATGTGTGAGGGTTGTGATACTGCTCGGGTGCCCAAACCGAAGTAGGTGGTTTTCTTAGGGGGCCACTCCCCGAGCCTTCGACCTGAAGGTCTGATCCACAAGGCAGTGGAGCATCGTGAGGAGATGCAGTCCCGTGGTAGCCGGTGACCAACAATTGGTTCATACGTCATTTGTTCCCACAGGATACTGGAGCCCACGTGCACCATTGGTTTGGAATCCGGTTAAAGCGCCGGACATTCGCTTTTCGTCCTCTCATTTTCGTAAACAACACCTCGGCCATGAGAAGGCAGTGAGTAGGACTTCCCCGGGCAGAGGCTATATACGCGTGGCCATGTGAGAGCATTTCAAGAGGGAGAGCGGACTCTCCCCACTCTCGGCTGTACCAGGGCATTTGGGGGCTGCTACATTCAAATATATATCAGATCTACTGAAGTCACTAGTTATTGTAAAAATCAATTAATCTAGGTTTAAAGTTGTAAGATGTGAAGTGTTTTGGAAAAAATTTGTCAATAAAACCTGATGATTATTGACAAGCTTATGAATTAAATATTATAAAAAAGCTAAAACTTTCTCAGAATAAAAATTCGTCTTAAGTCCATTTAATAATACATATAATAATATATAAATGTAAAACATAATGAACTAGGACTATGACTTACTGTTGTAACTGGAAAGAACTGAAAATGATTGTCGAGGATAGGGTTGGATAGATAGTACATGTGTGCGGCCTATGCTCCTCCATAAGAGGTAACAGACGTAAGTAGAGAACTTTTTGTTCTGACATATAAATCAAAAGTTATTAAATATCCAAAGAATTTATCAATTCGGTTATCTATCAGCTATTTGACAATTATAATACCAACACAACTGCAATAATCACTGCGTTATTACTAACGTTGAGCTGGCTAAATGATGAAGAATGCATTCACCGAACAATTTACATTTACCTGATACAATTACGAACTGACCGTTATAGTATAATTCAATAGAACTGAGTCTTTAGATTACAAGTTAAATCCTTTTATACGCTTTATATGGAGATGTCAGTTCAATAGTTTGATCGTGGTGATAAGAAATCTAGTTGTCTGATGAGACAAAATATCATTCAACCTATGAAAATCAAATTAACGTACTGCATAGCAGTCATTATTCTTTTGTTTTATTCTGGATCATGTAATTTATCACAAGACTTGTATAAGCGAATTTTAATCGATAACCACTTAATATCTAAATGATTCAAGAATCTGAAACCGAAATATTCCAATAACATTAGTCTTTCCAGTGTACATCACTCAGTCAACCATTGAATTTGTGTGTTAATGAAGCCTTCTGTACAGATATCAAAACGTTTTAATCATTGTCACCATGGTAAATCGAATGCATAATGCATATATATATCAAATATTCTTAAGAAAACTAATCAACGCATAGGCCGCCCACCAGCATTCTCTATCCAACCCTGTCCTGGGCAGTCGTTTCCAGCTCCTTCCAGTTGTTATTCATCTTTTTCATATCTGCTTCTATTTCCCGACGTAATGTGTTCTTTGGCCTCAATCTTTTTGGCTTCCCTTCAGGATTCCAAGTAATGGCTTGCATCATGATGCAGTCTTGTGATTTGAGTAATGTATGTCCTATCCATTTCCATCGTCTTCTCCTAATTTCTTCTTCTGCATTATAAAATACTTGGTTGATTATGTGTATGACAGATGATAGAAAAAAATCATTAAAGTTGACTGTAATTCTCAATTTAATAATGAAATACAAGTTTATTTTATTCAATATGGTTATAGATACTCTATAACAATGAGTGTTTAGATCTCAATAACTGATCTTGGTAGCTTTTTATTAGTTTGTTGTGAAATATATAACACAGCCTTTAGGTCACCTTTATCTCAAAAGCTACACTAATCATCAAATTTATCAACAAAAGTTTGGTAATTATGACAAATTATTTCCATCGTTATATTCTTCTTCTTACCCCTTGATTATTGCGTAGCCTCATCTGATAATAAGAGTCTCGAATCAACTTACGATGCAATCTTTTTTACTCTTCTATGGACATATATTTTCCATATAACTATGAATATGAATGTGATGATTTCCTTGAAGAGGATATATTCTTTGCTGAATTCGATTTTTATTTATTTTTGATGTCCCTTTACAGAACTTCATATATCAATTATATGTCTACTGGGTTGTGCCTGCTTATTTGGAATATTGGGTTTGGGTTTAGCTATTACAGGTGTGTGCAAAAGTGCCTTGATTCTTAGACTTTATTATTATCATTCAGCTGGTGAATGCTTTTTGGTTTCAAGTGAGTGTTTCAATTATTCTATTTTCATGTTTATGAATGAATTAAGTAATCGATCAACAATATGATTGCTCATATAGATTCTGATAGTAGAGAGGGAATTATTGATCATTATTCAAAAAAGATAAAATATCCACTAACTTTTAATAGTTTCACATTTGATTCCAATCAAATTATTATTGAAGAATTAGTCCCTTTGGTAAACTTCGATGGTTAAATAAGAAGGTAAAGATTATCAGAACTATGTGATATATTAGCGTAGTACATTTGGAACAATTTCATCATACATATACTCGTTAAGAACGTTTGTATATAAAAATAAAAGGTCAACTAGACAAATGGAAGCCAAGAGAAGATAAAGATAACAGAGAAAATAATGTCCGTCATTCTCCATTGTCAAACATATAGTTCAAACAGATCATAAAATTGATATTGACTCGGCTTTTGTGATGTGATTCAAAAGTATTAAAGGCCGCATACTAAAGTTAATTAAAGCCTTAGTCATATGAAAATTCCTACCCTCATTATGTATTTAAAAGCAGTTTATTTTCACTTTAAACCTACCCTGGTAATGTTATCCAGCGTGATGAGTTTTCATATTATTTTCTTTACCATCTTTGTTTTCCCATACCCTCCATTTATCTAGCTTATCTTTTATTCTTTCATAGATAAATATTCTTGACAAGTATATGTGTGATCAGATTGTTCTAAATGTATTACGCTATTATATATCACGTAGTTGTAATCATCTTCGTCCTATTACAATATCCAAGTTGGAGAATTCGTTTACCATAAATGACTTAATGAGTATATTGTTAGCTAAACAGCTATACATTAATTATTTCATTGTTAATTGTATCTGAGCATGTTTTTCATAGGCATACTTGAATAGGTATTTGTTACTTTCATGGAGTGTGTACGTAGAAAAATAATTAGATAAATGCCTGAGCATTTCCACTGTGTAATAAATGCAATTTCTCCTCTGTTTGATTAGTCGAAACAATATGATTAAATGAACTGTGAATTCCAATATTAACTGCCCCTGACAAGCAAACTCATTCAAATTCATTTTTTGTAAAGCTATAATTTTTGGGGAAGTTAGTCACTTTTCAGTGGGGATATTGATCATTAGTCACTTATTGTAGAGCATCATTTGGGTTTCCTAGACGTTTCCTAACCATGATGTATGTATCTAACAAGCATTATTTATAATCTTTATATCAATTTATAATAGGCTGACAAAGCACTTAGCTCAATCTGACTGTTAAATTGGATGATTTAGGTTTAAAAACATAGTATGCTTATGCCCAAACTGATTTAAATAAATGATCTTCGAAATAGCTACGTAGAAGAGTTATCTGCTCTCATAATATATGTTAACTTATGAACATTCACGTATCAAGAAATTCTTACTTTGAGAATATTGAAAATATTGAACAAATAGATGAACTTTTAACAGTTTAAAATACAGTCAGTCAGCTACAACGGAGGACCAAGCACATATATGCATCGGTCTTAATTGCCACCCTTCATTAGCACAACAAGATGGACACCTGATTCATAGAGGTATTTATTTCACTGGTAGTAATATATAAAAGAAAGATTGTTTATAATGACATAGTACAGGAAGAAAGAATTAGTTCGTAGAAAGGAAGATATAATGTAATTTTAACCTCACAGTTTAAGGGAAGACAAAGTGTGTATACACCTACGCCATTGTGAACGATTCTAAGTCATGTCACACAGAGTCTCCAACCATTGTTTAAAATAAAAAAAATACAAACCCAAGGTCTTCTCTAAATTGATATTTAAATAGCATATAGATGATTAAGGAATTTATTCTGAGCATTTGTTTGTTTGAAGAGAACAAATCAGTTTAAAAATAAAATGGCTGCAATCACATAAATACTTATATCATTAATATCAGAAGGGGTTTTGTGGATATCATAGTAATTTCAAGAGTTAAGATCATGAGTCAATTGAATCTAAACCACCGTGGAAAACTTGGAAGCACTTATATAATTGTCTACTTTGTTCTTGAAGAAATCACTTGTCTACATTGATCATTTCTACATATTTATTAATGAACTGAATACATGACATGAAATGACATGAATTCAGTTTAGTTTTAATTAATGAATGCAAACTTCTTGTCATACGGAAATTCGGTAAATATTTTGCATCAAAATTATTTTGTTTAGATGATCCATTCTCTTGTACAAATATGTTAAATGTTAAGTTTACTGTTAACAATGACAAATTAGTTGTCATTTATCAGAAAACAAAAATAAAGTTGAAATACTAATCCAATATCAAATGACATGTTACTGAACTATACTAAGCAAACAATTGAAGCTACATATTTTGACAACATAGATTTTAGAATAAAAGAAATTAATAGGAAAACAAATTCTTTCATTTAAATCGGATATTTATATTTCGTATATGATTGATTAATGGATGATAAAACTAACAATTACCATTATTCAATTTGTGAGTATTAATTTCACTTGAAATCTCCTCCTGGAGTCCCTCTAGAGCTACTGTCGGTCCCAAGCCCGGATAAAGGAGGAGGGTTGGGTATGGAGTTAACGACCTCATCCTATAGAAAACTAACTTGCTAAAAAAACGCTGATCAGAAAAAATAATTCAAACCACTTAAACTCTGCCCTGGGAGTTAGAAGGTCTTCATTTAGAAGAGTGATGATGCCTCATGCTAAAAGTCACGTACGTTCAGAATTCACGAGGCTGATGCGTCTTCTGACAACCAGAGCAACCATAGAATACTCGTACAATGGGGGAGGCGGGGAGAGTCATCCAGATTGCTTAAAATGATGTAATAGTTAAATACAGATGAATTACATAAGATATCAATAATTCTGTAGTTATTATCAATATGGAGCAAAATCTATTTGCTAACCAGATTAGAATAGATGTTGTATATCCATTTGAAGATAATTTCCCAACAATTTTTATTCTTAGTTCATTTTTGTATTGGTTGTTTAAATCTTCCCATTGATCTTCAGGACTATAATTTATCCGTCTCTTATTAGTATATGTACATCTAGTACGGATTGCCTCGATATTGCCCGAATTCACAAATATTACAAAGATGAATGGTGACTAGCAGTGAAATTCAGGTCGACTGTCTCGTCCTATGTGGAACTCGTCATGTGGATGAATCTGCATCCCAGACCAGATGTTCACTCCGTAACTTGAACCCAGTACCGTTCGCCTCAAACATCATCACTTTATCCACCTAGCTATTGAGTCTTTATTGTTTGTTAAAATCACATTTATAGATTTTTGAAGTTTCCAGGTAGGATGTTAGCACACCTTTACTACCACGTCATCCGGAAACCTAAGAAATATTTAGTCATATTTTATTCATTACTTAATTAGTATTCTTGAAAACCCATTATATTTTTAACCCCTTAATCTTAGGTATTGCCACAATAACTGCTTTAATACTCTATCCAATATCAGCTGAAACATGTATACAAAATTTATTAAACCTTAATATATTCAAAATCAAATCAACTGATCACACTTCCACGATCAGCATATCTAGTAACAATAACAACAAAAATCCTGCTTCTGAAGAAGATGTATCATTGACTAATATTGAGACACAATTTGGATATACATATTTTTTGACATGGATTGCAGCGCTATTTTTTGTCAACTCATTTATATGCATGAATTTAGATTTATTGATACAATCATTCGTTCGACCAATACCACTAATCAGCAATACGATAAATAATTTAATGCCATGCTGTGGTTTGTCTACCTCGTTATCAGAATCACCAGTATCGTCTAAATCGTCACACTCATCTTGTCATTTTAATGAATCTATTTATAAAAAGCAAAGACATGAATGTACTGAACAGAACATAGAACATATGGTAATATCAAACGGTAATCAAAATACTGAAACTAATCCTAGTGGCAATCTACATTCTAAGCGCAAACTGATAAAATATCAAAGAGAATTCGTATCATTCGACGATAGTATTACAGAGAATAGTCAACATCAACCTTGTCAAGTACCAAACATTCTTTTGAGTGATTATGATAAGGAATGCGAATTAATAAATTCACGAAATAAAGAATTGTGCAAGGAAAATTCTATTAATATTACTGATGAGATTGTAGTGATTCCTGATAAGATTTTACAAGATTCAGGTCAAGATGGTGAATGGATCTAAATACAAGATAGAATATACGGATCCAAGTGCCTTGAACTGAATAAAATAGAATCCACGCTGTTCACCTGTAATTTATATCACAGAATGCTTTTATCTATTATTCTGACGTATTGATTTGTCATCTCTTGTTCAATGACTGAAATTTTTTCAACAGTACCTTATAAATAAAATACACTTATCATTTAGATGAAATTAGAATTAGTAATGCATCCTGTGTTTGAATCAGGTAATAATTTACATTACCTGCATGTGTGAACATTATTTTAGATGACCAAATATCAAGGGAATATATATATATATAAACTTATTGATCAAGATTATTGGTAACCATGTTGAATATTTTAACATTTCCTCCTCTGGAAAAAGATATACACTAATATATACACATATTCAAACACATTATTTTGTATATCAAAATGCTATTTTTTAATATATGAATTATATCACTTTCAATACATTTAGAAGATTATGAACTTCATATACGAATAACTGCATTAGGTAGTCGACTGTAAATCCTGTTTCACATTCATCAGCATGTTATCCGATAAATTCCAACCGAAGCCTGACAGATTCATAACCTGAGAATTTACCATTGAGCTATACGAGTGGCAAGTGATCTGCACGACTGAGGTATTTATCCACTATTGACCACCTAGTAGAGACGACTATCATATATATTTAGTCATTTAGCGCTGATAGATCTAGTGGTTGAATGGTACACGATCAAGTACACTGAAAAACACTAGTCCTCCAAGGATCACAGGTACACTTTACTGAAAAATGTCAAACAAGACAAAATATAGGTTTAGGGTCCCTTGGAGACTACTTCCAAGCACTTAGCATCTCAGCATAGTACACGTAATATCAGGTCACTTACATTGATGGCCACACTACAATTTGATCTATAGAATTCGATCAGCACTGGAAGTGCTAGATGAAGTTTATACCGGTCACTACTTAATAACCAGTTAATTACATTACTGTTTTGTGTATACTTAGTCAAAGTTACCATCGTTTAGAAGCCTCTTGAAGTATTTATTGATTAAAGCAAGCAATTTAGTTAAACTTTCTCGTTTCCTACTCAAATTAAAAATAAGTGTACAGTAGTAGTGGTTGTTGGCTTCCGACTGAGATCATGAACCGACCAATGTTAGAGCACTACAGTGAACATTCACGATCCCGCATTCGAGATTCGAGCCCAGGACCTTCAGTCCTCTGAGCGAATGATTACCTTGAAACCACTAAGGCGGGATCCCGCGGTGCTGATGTCTAATTTCGAATAAGCCAGGAGTCATGAGTGCGAGACGGCCATCCAGTGCTTGTAAGTGCTCAGTAGTGGTCCAACATCGGTCGGTTCATGATCTCAATTGGATTAAAAACTTAATGTAACACCCCAAATATTGAGGCATTTCAAGAATGAACGATGGTTTGTACAGGGTAACCTTTCATCCCAACAATATTCTGTTGTTCGACAGAGATTTTTACTGAAATTTGAATATATCTACTGTTAAAGTTGACTATGACATTTTAAAGACAGTTATGTATTAAATTTACACATATGATAGTTTCTAAAGTCATTTCATCACCAAAGAAAGTGCATTCAGAAACCATCATTTTAAACATGAGTCCACTTAACACTATTGTGTTGACAATATTCACTTCTCAGTATTAACTGAAGTTGAAATAATGTCAAGTTGCTTTCCGTATTATTTCAAAATGAGAATTTGTCTCATAAATTTGTATTTTCTGCAAAACTAAAATGTTATTTTTATATCACATTTTATACTTATTATTATATTGGTTTGATCAATCGCTCTGTAAAGCTTCGATATTTGATGTTGAACGCATTAGTTCTAATGGACCCACCTAGCTGAAGAAGCTTGCTCACGCATCCGCACCAGATTACGAATGAGTATGCTGTGCTTCACATCTCCTACAACCTCTAGCCAGCTGAGAATGATCACCTCGATATATTGATAACCTATCAAATATATATATCTTTAAACCTCTTCGCTTCTGATTTCACTAGGTTGGCATATTTCGATCATAAAAGATGTTACCGGTTAATGTATTGTCAAACATCGAACACTTATAACAATCTTTAATTTTATTGTTTAAAATGTTTACATACCAAACAAAATTTGCTATTATAAGCGGAAATGTTGTCGGCTAACAGTGAATTTCATTACTCGCACTTTGTCCTACTTTCATTCTGTTTGTGACTTCAAGCAGTCCTTACTTACGCCTGTTACTCCTCGTGAAGGAGCATAGGCCGCTCACCAGCGTTCTCCATCCAACCCTGTCCCAAGCAATCCTTTCTAGCTCCTTCCAGTTGTTATTCATCCTTTTCATATCTGCTTCTATTTCCCGATGTAAGGTGTTCTTTGGCCTTCCCTTTTCGCTTCCTTCAGGATTCCAAGTTAGGGCTTGCCTCGTGATGCAGTTTGACGATTTGCGTAATGTATGTCCTATCCATTTCCATCGTCTTTTCCTAATTTCTTCTTCAGCTGGAAGTTGGTTTGTTCTCTCCCACAGAAGGCTATTGCTGATGGTATCCGGCCAATGGATGTTGAGTATCTTGCGTAGACAGCTATTTATAAATACTTGTACTTTCTTGATTGTGGTTGTTGTAGTTCTCCAAGTTTCAGCTCCATACAGTAGAACTGCCTTGACGTTCGTATTGAAGATTCTTACTTTGATATTGGTTGAAAGTTGTTTTGAGTTCCATATGTTCTTCAATTGTAGGAAAGCGGCCCTTGCTTTGCCGATCCTCGCCTTTACGTCTGCATCGGATCCTCCTTGTTCATCGATGATGCTTCCCAGGTATGTGAAGGACTCTACATCTTCCAGAGTTTCGCCATCAAGTGTGATTGGATTGCTGTTCTCCGCTTTGAATTTGAGGACCTTAGTTTTCCCTTTGTGTATGCTGAGGCCTACTGATGCAGAGACTGCTGCTACACTGGCTGTCTTCATCTGCATCTGTTCGTGTGTACGTCCATATCAGATTTATATATATATATCAATAGGATACTAATCAATTCAAGTTATAAACATCAATAGGAAGATTCAAATAACCAATACAATTTGCCATTGTTAGTAATATCCATCATATTTGCATATAAATTAGAAACAAAAATTCTTATTTTTCATGAGATAGCAAAATTATTAATGATAATCTGTAAAGATAAAAAAAGAATAGGAATTTTCAATCTGTAATAGATACAAAGAATATTTTTCTAACTACCACTACTATTACTGAATTGATCATCACTTTTTTATCAATGGATGAAATGTATTTACATATTAGGAATAGTGGATATGTGATTAAATGAGAATGAAAAATTATCAAACATAATTTGAGTTTTAATAATCAGATATTTATAATGAAAGTTATTGGATCTGATTGCCTAGTATACTCAAGTAATATTGATTCATTGAAGAAAAAGGAAACCTTCATCTAATCATGATAGGAAATAATATAAACTTCAAGTTTGTTATTCGTCATGTACAAGATTCTGGTAATGTTACTTAGAACTACTGATCAATTAGATTGCCATTACGCTTTACTCTAATATACATAGATACAACTTTATACTAGGAAAGGATGAAGATATACAGTAGATCATTAGATATGATTTGACTTTATCTATCATATGACAATCGTCAACCAGGTGCACCAAGATATAGTTGCATATTGTTCCTTTCTGGCTCTTTCAAAATCACGCTGAAAGATGTTTACTCATTCACTTGTTAAAGTTACTTGGTAGTACTCCAAATATAGCTATCTCTGTAAGAACAACTGAATTACTAGATGTACACATGTTGATGTTGTATGTCTAGCTACATCAAAAGCACTTGATGATGTTTACATTTACGGTTAGTATTTTGCTCACAAAATCTGTAATCCATTTATGTTATTAAAAACTATTTATAAAATAAAATAGATTAAAGGAGAGTATACATTTATAATTCGTTGTTGTGTAATACTTAATACTTAGTAATACTTAATACTCATCACTGTAATATTGTATTGAATGTTTTTTAGGAAAAAAAACTATTAGTTGAACCACGAAATCTTCTGTTCAACAACATAATATTGTTCTCTTATAACCTTTAACATAAAACGAATGTGATCTTCACCAAGTGACATCAAACGGAAACTAGTTGAATTCATTGATATCATCAAAGTTTGATCGAAGTTGGTGACTGGGTTCAAGATGTACTTGTGATTAATAGTTTTAATAATTATGCCTGACATGAAACCTTCATATATGTGACGTCTGGATAAAAGTGGTCAACGGAACAAAAAATCACTTTCAATAAAGACAAAAAATGTAACATGGAGAAGACTTTTTAACAAATTTATTATCAAGTTGTAAAATCGTATTTACATATAAAATGTGAAAAATGAATGAAAATAATGACGTAACAGGAAAATTTTAATACTAGATCATGTAATGTAGGTGCATGGATAGGTGGCTTCCTGGATATGGGCAGACAAATAATTGGTTGTAAAATTCATAACCTATCACTGGATTATAGTGTGACAGGAATAAGATAATACAAATATCATTGTTAAAATTATTCAAATGTACAATGAATGAAATGAAAATAAAATATAGTAATAATAAGTTGAATCCTCATGAGGCGTAAAATTAAGCTATATTTTCTTTGTAATAAAAAATACAGGCTTTATTTCAATGAACAAGCGAAGCTTCTGTTAGTTTGACAGATTGAGAAAGAGTTCCTGGTTGGCGTTGACGGATCCTATAAACATGTGGGTTGGCCTTGTAATTAAAGTCATTTGAATATTCGGGACTTAAACTTCTAACCACTTTCTTTTCACCCTTGTAGAAACAAGGTAGGATATGTTCTTGTATGAGTATTGAATAAGTATATATATTTTGCTCGATAGGAGTAAATATACGCAGAGGTAACCAAACAAGGAAGGGTATCTTTAAGGACAAGGAAATTTCAATGCACATAAAAATCGAAAAATTTAATTCTAAACAGTATTTCAATAATCAATTCTCTATAATTCTTCAGTCAGAAAATTCTACTTTAAATAAGAAAATACGCCCAAACGATTAACATAGTGAAAAATACCCCCCCCCAAAAAAAAACGTGGTCAAAATAGGCACGTTTGTTATGAAGCATGCAAATAAACATAAACTATAAATGATTGGTAAATAGTTGATTGACCCGATATAAAATACATGATGAAATACTCATTTAATTAGAATAATTTTCTATAAGTTATTTACTAGATAAACATGATATTGTAATCGAATTTCAAGATAGTTCTTAGTTCATTAATTCTTAACCTAGTACATTTGATGTAGATTCATGATTTAATACATGAAAATTTACATCCCATTCATAAAACATTAATATGTACACACCAAAATCTGTAACAATTATGCTTATTATATACTAATATGGAGAAGCACGTCCAAAACTGACACCTGTTTGTTTTTTTTTATTATCATCAATTAGCATGATGCTATTTCCATACATTATTAAGTCTATCTAATCAGACTGATAGGTCCTGGGTTCGAATCTCGCAGGGGGCGAGGTCATGGATGCGCACTGCTGAGGAGTCTCATACTTGGACAAAACGGCCATACAATGCTTCCAGGTTTTCCATGGTTGTCAAGCTTCAATTGACTCATGATTTCAACCATTGAAATTACTAAAATTTCCCCAAAAACCACTTCAGATGAACAATATTGAAATCTTTATAACATTGATCATTGTATTTTCTGTTTATCGGCTAATATGAAGAACTTCACAGTATATAAACACTCATTCGGGGAAAATCAGTTTATTATACAATGAAAAATACAGAGTGCTATGGTAAAATATGAGAACCTTACATTAAATACTTCATGTGCAAATCATCCATCAATTGTCTATCGACATAAGTAGTAGTATGTAACGTCAATCAGAATTGAAATACCTGTCAATAGAAAGCTAAGAAGATTGAGTTAAGGAAAACAGAAATGGAAGTAGAAAAGGATTGTAAATGAAGTATTTACTATACGACTGTTATATTTTATGAAGACATTCTGTGGTTTTGTATTAAACGATAAACTGGTTGTCACCACCTAAGTTCTCGTTCACTACAACATTGTTCATGTTTGCTTCAATTAAATTGTAAAGAATTACAGAAATAATATTCATATATGTTTTAAAAATTATAATTAGTGTTACTTTCAATGAGTGATTATTCATTTGATTAAGTTGTTCATCATGTTTTTTCTCAATGTTAAGGAAATATCTTTAGAATCTTTATGTTAGGGACATTAGATCCCCAGAACTCACTTGGAAAAGGACCTAATTTTGTAATTTTATTTAGAAAATTTGAATTTCTTTTTCTTCACACCAAAGGCGTTCTTTTCACCTTTATGTCCTATTTTCCACTTGGGAGAATCTTAAATGCGATTGGTCCGTTGTATCTTTTAGTATGCTATTTTGCAACTCTCCCAAAGGACGATTTTTTGCTGTATATATGCGTTTTGATTTGTGCCTGTTGTTATCGCTCGTTTTTTTGGCTTTTTGCGGAGTATACTTCCCCATTTCAAACTTGGACTTCTTCCTCTAGTTAGCGGGGCTGGGACGCATCGAATAGCTAGCTTATTGGTCTTTGTTCACCGAGTCTTTATTCCGTTCGCAGATTAAGTGAACTAGTAACCGCTTCAAACCTAGCACTTTATAGATAAAGCATTAAACTAGCAATGTATTTTGAGTAGGATATGTAATTGAGATCTAACATGCCTACTTACTCACACCTGTTACCCCTCGTGAAGAAACTTAAGTCACACACCAGCATTCTCTATCGAACTCTTTCTTGGATATAGAATGGGTTTCATTTTGTTTTTCTTTCACATAAAGATGATATACATATTATTATGTTGCATTTAGATTATTAAAACGTATCACCATAACTTATAGATAAGTGATATTAATTCTGGTCATATTCATTTTGTGATTACAATTTCATTGTTGTACAAACGTTGTTAAACAATATATTTTCTAAACACTTGCCAAATTGTATTTTTCACAATTATTTGTTTTGTTTTGTTTTTTGATATTGTTTGGATAATGACACTTTCAGATGTATACATTACTCTAAAGAAAAGCTTGTATGTAGTTATCCTTAAACACTTTAATTATAAGTACGTATTCAGTTTAAAGTTGTGTAATGACTTAATGTAGAAGACTGATACGAATTGTCGTTTGAAGTTCTCCAATCTTTCCAGGTTTAATTGTATCTTGTTGATTATATGGTATATTCATTTGAATATATTATACTTCGTCAATTTTCATAAATGTGATCTTATTAATTATTCACTGTTAACTTTGAATATATATTTAAACTAACTTTCGCTTGCTTTTGTCTATCATAAAGTCTCTAATTGTTTATCTGTAATTTATGCTCTATATATCTTATATAAGGACTAAGTCACCAATCATTCGCTAAGTAGTTTTTTACGGCTACTTCTGCCTGCATTTGTTCTATTTCTATATTACAATATTCAGTTTATTTGGTCTGAAATATACATTACCTAAACAAAATATGTATTCAAATTTGTATTTTTACATTCAGTCAGTCAGTCAGTCCGGCACAACATAGGACCATGCACATTTATGCATCGGTATAAGTTGCCACCCTCATTAGCACAACAAGATGGACACCAAATTCATAGAAGTAGTTGATTCAATGGTAGTAATATATAAAAGAAAGATTGCATAAAAGGATATAGTACAGCAAAAAAGAATTAGTTCGTAGAAAGAAAGATATAAAATAATTTTAATCTCATAGTTTAGGGGAATACAGAGTGTATACAGCTACGCCATTGTGACTGATTCTGAGTCATGTCACACACAGTCTCCAACCATTGGTTACGATAGTCACACGGACCCCAACTAAGTAGTCTGCATCTACCAAGATGACTTAGACTAGAAGTTTTTTTTTTTTTTTTTTTTTTTTTTTTTTTTTTTTTTTTTTTTTTTTTTTTTTTTTTTTTTTTTTTTTTTTTTTTTTTTTTTTTTTTTTTTTTTTTTTTTTTTTTTTTTTTTTTTTTTTTTTTTTTTTTTTTTTTTTTTTTTTTTTTTTTTTTTTTTTTTTTTTTTTTTTTTTTTTTTTTTTTTTTTTTTTTTTTTTTTTTTTTTTTTTTTTTTTTTTTTTTTTTTTTTTTTTTTTTTTTTTTTTTTTTTTTTTTTTTTTTTTTTTTTTTTTTTTTTTTTTTTTTTTTTTTTTTTTTTTTTTTTTTTTTTTTTTTTTTTTTTTTTTTTTTTTTTTTTTTTTTTTTTTTTTTTTTTTTTTTTTTTTTTTTTTTTTTTTTTTTTTTTTTTTTTTTTTTTTTTTTTTTTTTTTTTTTTTTTTTTTTTTTTTTTTTTTTTTTTTTTTTTTTTTTTTTTTTTTTTTTTTTTTTTTTTTTTTTTTTTTTTTTTTTTTTTTTTTTTCGATACCACTTAATATCTAAATATTTCAAGAATTTGAAACCGAAATATTCCAATAACATTAGTCTTTCCAGTGTACATCACTCAGTCAACCACTGAATTTGTGTGTTAATGAAGCCTTCTGCACAGATATCAAAACGTTTTAATCATTGTCACCATGGTAAATCGAATGCATAATGCATATATATCAAATATTCTTAAGAAAACTAATCAACGCATAGGCCGCTCACCAGCATTCTCTATCCAACCCCGTACTGAGCAATCGTTTCCAGCTCCTTCCAGTTGTTATTCATCTTTGTCATATCTGCTTCTAATTCCCGACCTAATGTGTTCTTTGGCCTCAATCTTTTTGGCTTCCCTTCAGGATTCCAAGTAATGGCTTGGATCGTGATGCAGTCTTGTGATTTGAGTAATGTATGTCCTATCCATTTCCATCGTCTTCTCCTAATTTCTTCTTCTGCATTATAAAATACTTGGTTGATTATGTGTATGACAGATGATAGAAAAAAATCATTAAAGTTGACTGTAATTCTCAATTTAATAATGAAATACAAGTTTATTTTATTCAATGTGGTTGTAGATACGCTATAACAATGAGTGTTTAGATCTCAATAACTGATCTTGGTAGCTTTTTATTAGTTTGTTGTGAAATATATAACACAGCCTTTAGGTCACCTTTATCTCAAAAGCTACACTAATCATCAAATTTATCAACAAAAGTTTGGTAATTATGACAAATTATTTCCATCGTTATATTCTTCTTCTTACCCCTTGATTATTGCGTAGCCTCATCTGATAATAAGAGTCTCGAATCAACTTACGATGCAATCTTTTTTACTCTTCTATGGACATATATTTTCCATATAACTATGAATATGAATGTGATGATTTCCTTGAAGAGGATATATTCTTTGCTGAATTCGATTTTTATTTATTTTTGATGTCCCTTTACAGAACTTCATATATCAATTATATGTCTACTGGGTTGTGCCTGCTTATTTGGAATATTGGGTTTGGGTTTAGCTATTACAGGTGTGTGCAAAAGTGCCTTGATTCTTAGACTTTATTATCATTCAGCTGGTGAATGCTTTTTGGTTTCAAGTGAGTGTTTCAATTATTCTATTTTCATGTTTATGAATGAATTAAGTAATCGATCAACAATATGATTGCTCATATAGATTCTGATAGTAGAGAGGGAATTATTGATCATTATTCAAAAAAGATAAAATATCCACTAACTTTTAATAGTTTCACATTTGATTCCAATCAAATTATTATTGAAGAATTAGTCCCTTTGGTAAACTTCGATGGTTAAATAAGAAGGTAAAGATTATCAGAACTATGTGATATATTAGCGTAGTACATTTGGAACAATTTCATCATACATATACTCGTTAAGAACGTTTGTATATAAAAATAAAAGGTCAACTAGACAAATGGAAGCCAAGAGAAGATAAAGATAACAGAGAAAATAATGTCCGTCATTCTCCATTGTCAAACATATAGTTCAAACAGATCATAAAATTGATATTGACTCGGCTTTTGTGATGTGATTCAAAAGTATTAAAGGCCGCATACTAAAGTTAATTAAAGCCTTAGTCATATGAAAATTCCTACCCTCATTATGTATTTAAAAGCAGTTTATTTTCACTTTAAACCTACCCTGGTAATGTTATCCAGCGTGATGAGTTTTCATATTATTTTCTTTACCATCTTTGTTTTCCCATACCCTCCATTTATCTAGCTTATCTTTTATTCTTTCATAGATAAATATTCTTGACAAGTATATGTGTGATCAGATTGTTCTAAATGTATTACGCTATTATATATCACGTAGTTGTAATCATCTTCGTCCTATTACAATATCCAAGTTGGAGAATTCGTTTACCATAAATGACTTAATGAGTATATTGTTAGCTAAACAGCTATACATTAATTATTTCATTGTTAATTGTATCTGAGCATGTTTTTCATAGGCATACTTGAATAGGTATTTGTTACTTTCATGGAGTGTGTACGTAGAAAAATAATTAGATAAATGCCTGAGCATTTCCACTGTGTAATAAATGCAATTTCTCCTCTGTTTGATTAGTCGAAACAATATGATTAAATGAACTGTGAATTCCAATATTAACTGCCCCTGACAAGCAAACTCATTCAAATTCATTTTTTGTAAAGCTATAATTTTTGGGGAAGTTAGTCACTTTTCAGTGGGGATATTGATCATTAGTCACTTATTGTAGAGCATCATTTGGGTTTCCTAGACGTTTCCTAACCATGATGTATGTATCTAACAAGCATTATTTATAATCTTTATATCAATTTATAATAGGCTGACAAAGCACTTAGCTCAATCTGACTGTTAAATTGGATGATTTAGGTTTAAAAACATAGTATGCTTATGCCCAAACTGATTTAAATAAATGATCTTCGAAATAGCTACGTAGAAGAGTTATCTGCTCTCATAATATATGTTAACTTATGAACATTCACGTATCAAGAAATTCTTACTTTGAGAATATTGAAAATATTGAACAAATAGATGAACTTTTAACAGTTTAAAATACAGTCAGTCAGCTACAACGGAGGACCAAGCACATATACATCGGTCTCATTAGCACAACAAGATGGACACCTGATTCATAGAGGTATTTATTTCACTGGTAGTAATATATAAAAGAAAGATTGTTTATAATGACATAGTACAGGAAGAAAGAATTAGTTCGTAGAAAGGAAGATATAATGTAATTTTAACCTCACAGTTTAAGGGAAGACAAAGTGTGTATACACCTACGCCATTGTGAACGATTCTAAGTCATGTCACACAGAGTCTCCAACCATTGTTTAAAATAAAAAAAATACAAACCCAAGGTCTTCTCTAAATTGATATTTAAATAGCATATAGATGATTAAGGAATTTATTCTGAGCATTTGTTTGTTTGAAGAGAACAAATCAGTTTAAAAATAAAATGGTGCAATCACTTAAATACTTATATCATTAATATCAGAAGGGTTTTGGATATCATAGTAATTTCAAGAGTTAAGATCATGAGTCAATTGAATCTAAACCACCGTGGAAAACTTGGAAGCACTTATATAATTGTCTACTTTGTTCTTGAAGAAATCACTTGTCTACATTGATCATTTCTACATATTTATTAATGAACTGAATACATGACATGAAATGACATGAATTCAGTTTAGTTTTAATTAATTAATGCAAACTTCTTGTCATACGGAAATTCGGTAAATATTTTGCATCAAAATTATTTTGTTTAGATGATCCATTCTCTTGTACAAATATGTTAAATGTTAAGTTTACTGTTAACAATGACAAATTAGTTGTCATTTATCAGAAAACAAAAATAAAGTTGAAATACTAATCCAATATCAAATGACATGTTACTGAACTATACTAAGCAAACAATTGAAGCTACATATTTTGACAACATAGATTTTAGAATAAAAGAAATTAATAGGAAAACAAATTCTTTCATTTAAATCGGATATTTATATTTCGTATATGATTGATTAATGGATGATAAAACTAACAATTACCATTATTCAATTTGTGAGTATTAATTTCACTTGAAATCTCCTCCTGGAGTCCCTCTAGAGCTACTGTCGGTCCCAAGCCCGGATAAAGGAGGAGGGTTGGGTATGGAGTTAACGACCTCATCCTATAGAAAACTAACTTGCTAAAAAAACGCTGATCAGAAAAAATAATTCAAACCACTTAAACTCTGCCCTGGGAGTTAGAAGGTCTTCATTTAGAAGAGTGCGATGCCTCATGCTAAAAGTCACGTACGTTCAGAATTCACGAGGCTGATGCGTCTTCTGACAACCAGAGCAACCATAGAATACTCGTACAATGGGGGAGGCGGGGAGAGTCATCCAGATTGCTTAAAATGATGTAATAGTTAAATACAGTTGAATTACATAAGATATCAATAATTCTGTATGTTATTATCAATATGGAGCAAATCTAGTTGCTAACCAGATTAGAATAGATGTTGTATATCCATTTGAAGATAATTTCCCAACAATTTTTATTCTTAGTTCATTTTTGTATTGGTTGTTTAAATCTTCCCATTGATCTTCAGGACTATAATTTATCCGTCTCTTATTAGTATATGTACATCTAGTACGGATTGCCTCGATATTGCCCGAATTCACAAATATTACAAAGATGAATGGTGACTAGCAGTGAAATTCAGGTCGACTGTTTCGTCCTATGTGGAACTCATCATGTGGATGAATCTGCATCCCAGACCAGATGTTCACTCCGTAACTTGAACCCAGTACCGTTCGCCTCAAACATCATCACTTTATCCACTTAGCTATTGAGTCTTTATTGTTTGTTAAAATCACATTTATAGATTTTTGAAGTTTCTAGGTAGGATGTTAGCACACCATTACTACCACGTCATCCGGAAACCTAAGAAATATTTAGTCATATTTTATTCATTACTTAATTAGTATTCTTGAAAACCCATTATATTTTTAACCCCTTAATCTTAGGTATTGCCACAATAACTGCTTTAATACTCTATCCAATATCAGCTGAAACATGTATACAAAATTTATTAAACCTTAATATATTCAAAATCAAATCAACTGATCACACTTCCACGATCAGCATATCTAGTAACAATAACAACAAAAATCCTGCTTCTGAAGAAGATGTATCATTGACTAATATTGAGACACAATTTGGATATACATATTTTTTGACATGGATTGCAGCGCTATTTTTTGTCAACTCATTTATATGCATGAATTTAGATTTATTGATACAATCATTCGTTCGACCAATACCACTAATCAGCAATACGATAAATAATTTAATGCCATGCTGTTGTTTGTCTACCTCGTTATCAGAATCACCAGTATCGTCTAAATCGTCACACTCATCTTGTCATTTTAATGAATCTATTTATAAAAAGCAAAGACATGAATGTACTGAACAGAACATAGAACATATGGTAATATCAAACGGTAATCAAAATACTGAAACTAATCCTAGTGGCAATCTACATTCTAAGCGCAAACTGATAAAATATCAAAGAGAATTCGTATCATTCGACGATAGTATTACAGAGAATAGTCAACATCAACCTTGTCAAGTACCAAACATTCTTTTGAGTGATTATGATAAGGAATGCGAATTAATAAATTCACGAAATAAAGAATTGTGCAAGGAAAATTCTATTAATATTACTGATGAGATTGTAGTGATTCCTGATAAGATTTTACAAGATTCAGGTCAAGATGGTGAATGGATCTAAATACAAGATAGAATATACGGATCCAAGTGCCTTGAACTGAATAAAATAGAATCCACGCTGTTCACCTGTAATTTATATCACAGAATGCTTTTATCTATTATTCTGACGTATTGATTTGTCATCTCTTGTTCAATGACTGAAATTTTTTCAACAGTACCTTATAAATAAAATACACTTATCATTTAGATGAAATTAGAATTAGTAATGCATCCTGTGTTTGAATCAGGTAATAATTTACATTACCTGCATGTGTGAACATTATTTTAGATGACCAAATATCAAGGGAATATATATATATATAAACTTATTGATCAAGATTATTGGTAACCATGTTGAATATTTTAACATTTCCTCCTCTGGAAAAAGATATACACTAATATATACACATATTCAAACACATTATTTTGTATATCAAAATGCTATTTTTTAATATATGAATTATATCACTTTCAATACATTTAGAAGATTATGAACTTCATATACGAATAACTGCATTAGGTAGTCGACTGTAAATCCTGTTTCACATTCATCAGCATGTTATCCGATAAATTCCAACCGAAGCCTGACAGATTCATAACCTGAGAATTTACCATTGAGCTATACGAGTGGCAAGTGATCTGCACGACTGAGGTATTTATCCACTATTGACCACCTAGTAGAGACGACTATCATATATATTTAGTCATTTAGCGCTGATAGATCTAGTGGTTGAATGGTACACGATCAAGTACACTGAAAAACACTAGTCCTCCAAGGATCACAGGTACACTTTACTGAAAAATGTCAAACAAGACAAAATATAGGTTTAGGGTCCCTTGGAGACTACTTCCAAGCACTTAGCATCTCAGCATAGTACACGTAATATCAGGTCACTTACATTGATGGCCACACTACAATTTGATCTATAGAATTCGATCAGCACTGGAAGTGCTAGATGAAGTTTATACCGGTCACTACTTAATAACCAGTTAATTACAATTAACTGTTTTGTGTATACTTAGTCAAAGTTACCATCGTTTAGAAGCCTCTTGAAGTATTTATTGATTAAAGCAAGCAATTTAGTTAAACTTTCTCGTTTCCTACTCAAATTAAAAATAAGTGTACAGTAGTAGTGGTTGTTGGCTTCCGACTGAGATCATGAACCGACCAATGTTAGAGCACTACAGTGAACATTCACGATCCCGCATTCGAGATTCGAGCCCAGGACCTTCAGTCCTCTGAGCGAATGATTACCTTGAAACCACTAAGGCGGGATCCCGCGGTGCTGATGTCTAATTTCGAATAAGCCAGGAGTCATGAGTGCGAGACGGCCATCCAGTGCTTGTAAGTGCTCAGTAGTGGTCCAACATCGGTCGGTTCATGATCTCAATTGGATTAAAAACTTAATGTAACACCCCAAATATTGAGGCATTTCAAGAATGAACGATGGTTTGTACAGGGTAACCTTTCATCCCAACAATATTCTGTTGTTCGACAGAGATTTTTACTGAAATTTGAATATATCTACTGTTAAAGTTGACTATGACATTTTAAAGACAGTTATGTATTAAATTTACACATATGATAGTTTCTAAAGTCATTTCATCACCAAAGAAAGTGCATTCAGAAACCATCATTTTAAACATGAGTCCACTTAACACTATTGTGTTGACAATATTCACTTCTCAGTATTAACTGAAGTTGAAATAATGTCAAGTTGCTTTCCGTATTATTTCAAAATGAGAATTTGTCTCATAAATTTGTATTTTCTGCAAAACTAAAATGTTATTTTTATATCACATTTTATACTTATTATTATATTGGTTTGATCAATCGCTCTGTAAAGCTTCGATATTTGATGTTGAACGCATTAGTTCTAATGGACCCACCTAGCTGAAGAAGCTTGCTCACGCATCCGCACCAGATTACGAATGAGTATGCTGTGCTTCACATCTCCTACAACCTCTAGCCAGCTGAGAATGATCACCTCGATATATTGATAACCTATCAAATATATATATCTTTAAACCTCTTCGCTTCTGATTTCACTAGGTTGGCATATTTCGATCATAAAAGATGTTACCGGTTAATGTATTGTCAAACATCGAACACTTATAACAATCTTTAATTTTATTGTTTAAAATGTTTACATACCAAACAAAATTTGCTATTATAAGCGGAAATGTTGTCGGCTAACAGTGAATTTCATTACTCGCACTTTGTCCTACTTTCATTCTGTTTGTGACTTCAAGCAGTCCTTACTTACGCCTATTACTCCTCGTAAACGAGTATAGGCCGCCCACCAGCATTCTCCATCCAACCCTGTCCTGGGCAATCCTTTCTAGCTCCGTCCAGTTGTAATTCATCCTTTTCATATCTGCTTCTATTATCCGACGCAATGTGTTCTTTGGCCTTCCTCTTTTCCGCCTTCCTTCAGGATTCCAAGTTAGGGCTTGCCTCGTGATGCAGTTTGACGATTTGCGTAATGTATGTCCTATCCATTTCCATCGTCTTTTCCTAATTTCTTCTTCAGCTGGAAGTTGGTTTGTTCTCTCCCACAGAAGGCTATTGCTGATGGTATCCGGCCAATGGATGTTGAGTATCTTGCGTAGACAGCTATTTATAAATACTTGTACTTTCTTGATTGTGGTTGTTGTAGTTCTCCAAGTTTCAGCTCCATACAGTAGAACTGCCTTGACGTTCGTATTGAAGATTCTTACTTTGATATTGGTTGAAAGTTGTTTTGAGTTCCATATGTTCTTCAATTGTAGGAAAGCGGCCCTTGCTTTGCCGATCCTCGCCTTTACGTCTGCATCGGATCCTCCTTGTTCATCGATGATGCTTCCCAGGTATGTGAAGGACTCTACATCTTCCAGAGTTTCGCCATCAAGTGTGATTGGATTGCTGTTCTCCGCTTTGAATTTGAGGACCTTAGTTTTCCCTTTGTGTATGCTGAGGCCTACTGATGCAGAGACTGCTGCTACACTGGCTGTCTTCATCTGCATCTGTTCGTGTGTACGTCCATATCAGATTTATATATATATATATCAATAGGATACTAATCAATTCAAGTTATAAACATCAATAGGAAGATTCAAATAACCAATACAATTTGCCATTGTTAGTAATATCCATCATATTTGCATATAAATTAGAAACAAAAATTCTTATTTTTCATGAGATAGCAAAATTATTAATGATAATCTGTAAAGATAAAAAAAGAATAGGAATTTTCAATCTGTAATAGATACAAAGAATATTTTTCTAACTACCACTACTATTACTGAATTGATCATCACTTTTTTATCAATGGATGAAATGTATTTACATATTAGGAATAGTGGATATGTGATTAAATGAGAATGAAAAATTATCAAACATAATTTGAGTTTTAATAATCAGATATTTATAATGAAAGTTATTGGATCTGATTGCCTAGTATACTCAAGTAATATTGATTCATTGAAGAAAAAGGAAACCTTCATCTAATCATGATAGGAAATAATATAAACTTCAAGTTTGTTATTCGTCATGTACAAGATTCTGGTAATGTTACTTAGAACTAATGATCAATTAAATTGCCATTACGCTTTACTCTAATATACATAGATACAACTTTATACTTGGAAAGGATGAAGATATACAGTAGATCATTAGATATGATTTGACTTTATCTATCATATGACAATCGTCAACCAGGTGCACCAAGATATAGTTGCATATTGTTCCTTTCTGGCTCTTTCAAAATCACGCTGAAAGATGTTTACTCATTCACTTGTTAAAGTTACTTGGTAGTACTCCAAATATAGCTATCTCTGTAAGAACAACTGAATTACTAGATGTACACATGTTGATGTTGTATGTCTAGCTACATCAAAAGCACTTGATGATGTTTACATTTACGGTTAGTATTTTGCTCACAAAATCTGTAATCCATTTATGTTATTAAAAACTATTTATAAATAAAATAGATTAAAGGAGAGTATACATTTATAATTCGTTGTTGTGTAATACTTAATACTTAGTAATACTTAATACTCATCACTGTAATATTGTATTGAATGTTTTTTAGGAAAAAAAACTATTAGTTGAACCACGAAATCTTCTGTTCAACAACATAATATTGTTCTCTTATAACCTTTAACATAAAACGAATGTGATCTTCACCAAGTGACATCAAACGGAAACTAGTTGAATTCATTGATATCATCAAAGTTTGATCGAAGTTGGTGACTGGGTTCAAGATGTACTTGTGATTAATAGTTTTAATAATTATGCCTGACATGAAACCTTCATATATGTGACGTCTGGATAAAAGTGGTCAACGGAACAAAAAATCACTTTCATAAAAACAAAAAATTTACATGGAGAAGACTTTTTAACAAATTTATTATCAAGTTGTAAAATCGTATTTACATATAAAATGTGAAAAATGAATGAAAATAATGACGTAACAGGAAAATTTTAATACTAGATCATGTAATGTAGGTGCATGGATAGGTGGCTTCCTGGATATGGGCAGACAAATAATTGGTTGTAAAATTCATAACCTATCACTGGATTATAGTGTGACAGGAATAAGATAATACAAATATCATTGTTAAAATTATTCAAATGTACAATGAATGAAATGAAAATAAAATATAGTAATAATAGGTTGAATCCTCATGAGGCGTAAAATTAAGCTATATTTTCTTTGTAATAAAAAATACAGGCTTTATTTCAATGAACAAGCGAAGCTTCTGTTAGTTTGACAGATTGAGAAAGAGTTCCTGGTTGGCGTTGACGGATCCTATAAACATGTGGGTTGGCCTTGTAATTAAAGTCATTTGAATATTCGGGACTTAAACTTCTAACCACTTTCTTTTCACCCTTGTAGAAACAAGGTAGGATATGTTCTTGTATGAGTATTGAATAAGTATATATATTTTGCTCGATAGGAGTAAATATACGCAGAGGTAACCAAACAAGGAAGGGTATCTTTAAGGACAAGGAAATTTCAATGCACATAAAAATCGAAA